ACCACTACCACTACCACTACCACTACCACTACCACTACCACTACCACGACCACCACCACGACCACCACCACGACCACCACCACGACCACCACCACGACCACCACCACGACCACCACCATGACCACCACGACCACCACGACCACCACAACCACCACCACCGCCACCACCGCCACCACCGCCACCACCGCCACCACCGCCACCACCACGACCACCACGACCACCACGACCACCATCACGACCACTACCACCACCGCCACCACGACCATCACGACCACGACCACTACCTCTACCACACTACTACCACCACCAGCGGTGCAAGGAGGCGGAAGGGTGAGCGCAAGGGGTCCCAACAGCAGACCACGATATCATATTTTTGAACAACCCCATACATCGCAAACCCTGATCAAAAGCGATCAGAGGAAGAACCCGATAGCACTGTTTTTGTGTCTGTATAGTTTGCTTTGCAACTCCATACGCTCTTCCGCCCAAGACCCAACCCACAAACACACACTTAAGATTCTGCGTACTGACTCTAATGCCGCTCGCGACACGGCAATCTAAGGAACCAGATTCCTGATCAACCAGGTAAGGAGGCCTGAGAGCTTTTAGTGAAAGGCCAAAAGTTCAACTCCACGAAACGACGAACAGGTCGAGATGACGACGTGCGCTCTTGTCTGCCGCGTGCACTAGCCCTTTAAAGGAAATGAGAGTCACAGCTTGAGAACATCACAAACATTGCAGGTATGTCAGAGTGGCCACCTCTGATTTCACCAGATCAAATGGGCGTCTTCGCTGGTAGCGGTCCCGAGTGATCTGCCGCTACCCCCTGCTGAAAACAGAACACTCCAAAAGAAACCTTGTGACTCCAAAGGTTACACACACACACACCATTCCTGTGCGCTAACGCAGGCTTACTTTCAATCTCCTTCTTACTTTCAATCTCCTTTCCTACACACCAGCTCAATTTTAAAAAACAAAGGAACAAGGCAAGATCTCAAACAACAAAGCGTTGGACAACGTTGTTGTTTGCATCAGAACAGCGAGGTGGGACGTGGACAGAGATGGGATGCTACAGCGGCTGAGACGAGAATGGTGGCAGCGGAACCCTGGGTTTTGGGTTTGATTGATACTTGCAAGTTCCAGGCACGACCAGCAGACAGTCAGCAAGGGGATCCTGAAAACAACCAATGAAGCAGGATACAAAGAACACACACACAGAGCAATGAACCGACTTGCTAGCCATTCAGGGATGTCCTGAAGAATTAGCCAAGATGGTCCATTTGTTGGACAGCTAGCAACCTCTAAATTTTTGACCTTGGTGCAAGACCCAGCAATGCAATGCAACCAGTGGACACCATCAAACCCACGCTGGTTCAGTTTTCCTTTGTCACATATTCAACCAATAATCACCAATATGGCAACATGTAAAGATCTGGCCAGTGCCAATTCTGGTCCTCCCAAAGCATTCATACCTGAAGGCGGCCCCTTTACAGCCGCAGCCGGACGTCCACTTCCGCCTCTCCTCTCCTTCCGCGCGGTCAGGAGACCTTCCTCCAGTCGTGCCACTCGGAGGAGGAGCTGCGGCGCTGGCGGGACGAGCGGAAGAGGTGCGCAGAGAGGATCTGGTGGCACGCGGTGGATGTGGCTCTGGTGAAGGTGAGAGCTGAGGTTACATAAGATCCGTGGCATGAATTGCTGGAGATTGTTTCTGGATGAGTCGAAGTCAAAGAAGCTGAAACTTCTTATATGTGTCAATCCTCAATGCTTTGTCTCATATATGTTCTCTCATCCGCTCCACTTTAGAGCTTCAGTGGGTTTCAGAGCAACCTTGAGGTTGCTCCGACCCCCCTTGTGGAGCTCAACAAATTTTGCCGGCCAATGCTGGGCCCATTCTCAGCCAACGAGTGTACAGTGTACAGCTAGGGCTAGTGCAGGCCTGACAAAACTGTGCGCAGTTGGGGTTCAATGTCCTGGCCCCTGGCAGTTGTTTTGTTTCCATTCGTTTCGTTCGTTAAAACCTGCTGGGATTGGCTTCATTCTGATGCACAAGCTTTGAATCAATATGCCCAGACACTCCCTGGACCGTCCAGAGTAGGGGATGGACCTCCTCTCTTTGCGTCTGCCTTCACCCTGTGCCTCCCTTCAGGTCGATCGACGTCGGGTCCGGATCTTTCGGAGTCTGCCCAGGTCTTTGGCGACGTTCGCTTGCAAATGTTGGGCGCGCAGTTTGGACGCTCAGAGGTCGAAAGCGGCAGTGAGACAGGCGACTGCGAGCTGAGCCTGACTGCGGAATGGGCACCCTCTGACATAGAACACCCCTTGCCATGCACAGAGAGAAGGACAGGAGAACCTCACAGATGCAAAACCAATTGAATGCTCTTAAAGGGTACCTTCAGTATAGGACGGCTCCCTCCAATGTTTTCAAACGTGGTGGGTCTGGCTTGTTGTGCTGTCAAGGCATCGTGAAAAGGCCCTGCTGAGGGCGATGCTGCAGCTGGGAGCGCTCCTGCCAAAGGAGACCGGCTGTCGAGAGGGAAGTACCCAGAGTAGTTGTTACATGCCCAATAGCACAATGTATGAACCAGTAACTCGTTTGACTGTCTTGGGTCTCGTTGTTTCCCGCTTACGGCTGTACGCCGAACCCGGTTTGATCGCCGCTTTTCGCCGGTCGTTCGAACCCTGAAACCTGTGATCGCTCCAGGTTGTGAGCCCGGAGCTCACCCGAACCTTCCGAACCCCGTGAAACTGCAAGCATTCACCTCCACACCCTATATATTCCAGTGTGACGCATAGACATACTCTGACGATATCTCTGACGTACGTACTCCTTTGTCTCTTCCATGCTTTGCTTCCGCACCAAATAAACCATTTTTTGCGGTCTGCAGGATCAGAAACGTGTGGGATGCGTGGAGTTATCCTACAGACCGTAAAAGTATGCGTAGTGAGTTTTCTCATCCAACATGTTTTCTGGGTCTATGGCGTGGTAATCAACAAAATGAGTTGTAAGGGATGAACCCCCTTTTCTCCCACAAAAACCAGATTTCACGCCATGAAGACAGCCCTGACATTCTGAAGATCTTGGAAGGGTTCCATAAGCAAGTTGCCAAGCTTTTTGTTCAAGAAACAATGGACGAGTCACACATTTACGAGAATGATCTCTGCCGAAGCCTAATGCGGAGGTGATCTTGAGCACCCCGACCCCCCCCCCCTTTAGCCTTTGGTGTGGCACAGCTCGAGGTGCAAAGGGCTTAGAACTCAGACCACGGGTGATGCCAATGCTGGCAGGAGAAAAAGCTGCAAGGCCGACTTCAAGTGCTGGAGATTGGAGTGCTTTTGGATCGGGTCACTGCAGGGTGCCCTTTTTCTGAAAGCCTTAAGCTTGCACCACATCACACAGAAGATGGATGTGATGTTATATCCAGGGTACACCCAAACAGGGACAGGCCAGCTGCTGGGAGTAAGCGTGCATTTCACCATGAGTCTCGCGGGAAAACTGCAGGGCATGGAGGTGGTAGGATTTCATGAACCAAGGCGCAGGGCCCCGCCTCCAAAGCTAAGAGCTGTTCAGAGGAGGTGCGGGCTGACAGATTGATTGGTCAGGAGTTCTCAAAGGATGATTCCAGTTGAGGGACAAGGGATGTCTTGGGGGAGTACTTCCTGAATTCTTTGGAGACAGACATTTGGTGATCTCGTGACGTTGTCATGAATGCATTCTTGAGAGCATTTCATTCGTGGTGGACGACTCGTGGTGTTCAAGCGTTGAAGGCTAAAGCGTTGTTGGAACGCTTCGATGAGATCTGTGAGCACAAAGATCATCGCTGGAAGGATTGCATCCTCTGACTCCGGAGGCATTTGTTGGTTGATTGGTTGGTTGATGAATAGAGGGGATACCTCCAAGCGAACAAACCAATAGGCATGTGGTACACTACCTGGCATCGACCCCGCTATGATTCCCAAAAGCCATGCGTGGGAGCTAGAGCCAAGATTCGTGAAATTGCTTCGCTTGGCCTGGGGATTGTCGGAGATTTATGATCAGTTTTCAGGGACCGGCTGTGGGCTTGGTTTCAAACAATCCCTCCGAAGACCTTCGGGAAAAGTAGAAAAGTACTGGTATTGCAGGCACTGTCATGTTCGGACGAATGGTCAGTAAAACTCCAAACCCTGTCACTCTGGTGGACCCTGGTCCCAGCATGTCCCAGCTCATCCCTCCTCCAGAAAAGGAATGTCTTTCCTTTTTCCGAAGGAATGCAGAGGAAACGTCGATGTGAGCCATTTTCTCACGAAAAGCAGCCACCGGGGCCCAACGTTGGCCCTTCCAAACTCGCTCCACGGAAACGAGCTGAACTGCCGAGCCCGAGCTGCAGCCACCGGGCGGAACGTGGGAACTGCATCGTCTCACATCGTACTCCGACTTTGTGTAGACTCGTTGATGTATCAAATCCCCTTCAGGTTGCATTGTATTTTACATATTTGTTCTGGGTTCGGGAGTTTTTCAGACTGGTTGGAAGTGGGTTGGTTCCATATTTTCGGCTTCACTTGCAGCTTTGGGGCGTTGGTCAATCTTGTACGCCTGATCTATCTAAACATGTCGAATCGAGGTGAGGACTAAGTCGCGAAACAGACAAGCCCGGGCCCGATCCCATGATTTTAATATCCCTGCTGGCGCTGGCTCAAGCGAACTGCTGTGAACCGTGGTTCCTGTCACTGCAACCGCTGGGCGAAGGCACCGGTCGAGTCTGTTGCGGGGGCATGTCTCAGAAGCGTCCCTACAGACCTCGCAACAGGGAAACTGTACGAGAGGTTGCGCTATGGAGTTTATCATGGCAAAAGGCAAAGCACGTGAATGACATATACACCTACCTGACCAGACAATAGGAAAACATTGATTGTTGATGATAGACAACTTTCCTTCAGTATGACTTGCATTGAGATAGATCATCGACAGTGCTCAGAGGATGAACAAAAGATCCGAGAGAGCCTGTCACGTGCATCGGCCCATCCAGATTGCTAAGCATGTCTTCAGCCACGTGCCTTTGCCTTTACTTGTTATTTTATATCTTTATATACACAGTATATGTTCATAACGTATATATATATATATATAAATATAGTATCTATGGAGAGCGCCACATCTCCGATTTTCTGCACGTCTGAGATCTCCCCACCTGACCGATCGCAGCAGCCGAGTTTGGAGCTCCTGTGTGGCTCAAACGGTTTCGGCGTCCGTTGGACCCTCCAGAGATCGATCAAAGGCGGCTCGGTTTCGGAGGTCGGCCAGAGGTCGGGGACGGCAGCTTGGAAGTTGGAGGGCACAGAGGTCGGGCCACAGGTCTGTCTTTGTCTTAACGAACTTTTCTATTTCTAGCAACTAGAAGCTACTAGGTGGAGGCCATCGCTACTAGTAGCAATAAAGCTTTCATTCAATAAAGAATCTTAAAGATAGACTGTTGGATTCATTTGGTGACATGACACAGGACCAGTGCCCTTCATTGTACTCTGCACGACCTGGTAAGTTGAAGGTTCGGACCCACATCTTTCTGGTCCGGTGGGTCGTAGCATAATTGTTGGTGGAGGGTCCAAGAATGTTGCGATGTTGGGTCCGAAGCTTGTGGTCAGCTATTCATGGATAATGTGACTCCCTCTCTTCAACTCTTCTTTTGTGGAACTTCCAAGGGTTTTCTCTCGATGACAGTGGCTAATCCGTCCTGTCCGAGTGCGAGTCCGTGACCAGGCCATGTCATTTTGGGGCTGCATTGTGGCTCCAGGCCAGTCAAAGCAGGCTGGATGGTAGGTCCTGGAAGAATGCCGAACAGTTTGGGGCCGAACAGCTGGAATCAATCAACATCTTCGGCAAAACTTGTAGGGAATTGGACAAATTTTGGGAGATTAGCAGCCAGATAGCAGACCTCTTGGCGGGTTGACACTCGTTGCGTTTTGCATGCTTTAGAATCTCTGAAGCACATGGCACGTGCCCAGGTGGAAACACGGGCTGGCGAGCTACTGCACCTGTCGCAGGCCGGAGATCGGTTGAAGCCAAGTATGGACCCAGAGTATTTCTCAGACCTCTTGGAGTGCAGACTTCAACAGATGCCCTTTGCTCCGTTCGTAGCGTCCTTGTTACTACTAGTAAGGCACTTGTTACTAATAGCTTCTTGTTACTACTAGTAAGGCACTTGTTACTAGAAGCGATGCACTTGTTCCTAGTAGCGAACATGGCTTCTCAGAGTATTTCTCAGACCTCTTGGAGTGCAGACTTCAACCCTTTTTGACTCTTTTTTGGAGTGCAGACCTCTTTCTTTTCGGAGCTTTCTTATTAAGAGACCGCTTTCTTTATAGACATCATCTCTCGGATCTTGGTGCTGATTTTGGATCAAACACGCCCCCGTAATTGGTGGTCTTGTGCCGTGCTTTTGTCCTGCCAAAAAGATGCTCTTTCATACACATAGTCGGATTTTGGGACCGTTTTGGTTACCAATTGTTTTTGCTTTGGACGTGTTTACATCACGCTTGCACCACTAGTCGTCCGACCGTGCGAAACGACCACCTCGACATACTCCGACCGAGGCGTGTTTGGCGCCGGAGACCCCAAGCGGTGCCTCCTCCAAAGTGCTGGTGGAGCAGGGTGGTTGGGGCCCCCGGTCACCAGTCCAGCTGTTCAAGAGAGTAAATGGTCCAAACTCCAACCAGCCGCACCTTGGCCAAGGGAACCACCGGAGACTTTGTTGATCAAGGCAGATGATCCAGGGACCGCAGGGACCGCAGGGACCGCTGAGAAAGAGCGATCTGTGATGCTGATGCCATGAGAGACAAGCCTTTGGCCTGCAAGCTGAGAATGGGATTCCTATCATCCTGTGTCGCAGATGACTTAGCAGACGGGTGTGGGTCAAAGATTCCCGGTGAAGTCATTCGGTGAAGTCATTCCTCGGTGAGCTTTCAGGGCAACTCTTGACCCACAGCCGGAAGTTTGGTGCAGCCTTTAGTGGAAGCTATCCTATGCTGATATACAGATATAATATATATATATTATACACATGTGTTTATTTATCAGGTGTATTGTATTTTTTCAATGTTCAAGTTTATTTATATAACATGTTTTGTTGCAGGCACTCATCCTTTGGTATGGCTACCACTTCTGTGTATTTTGGCAGCGTCTGTGGCTCTTGGCAGCTTGATCGGTCAAGGACGCGCAGCGTTCATTCATGATTTGCCAGTGGAATGCCTCGGCGTGACTTTAGGCATTAAGTTTCGTCGCATTCCGAGATTTGCTGAGGTATTGGAGATTGGTGCAGCATTTGTGCTCTTGTCCCTGGGATAGTGGCCATGGCTGTAGCTGCTGGTTTGACTTGCACTTGGCTGATGGGTCATCCGTGTTGCCACGACACCCGGAAAGCCTCCTACTTCATTGACACCTTGGCCCTCCCTTGTGGTGGTCAAGTGCTCATGTCCCATGCACCTGGCAGCCGTCGAACCTGGCAGCCCAATCTGGTGGAGGATCTCGGGGCGGTTCAACGTTTGAAGGCCACCTGTGTGGTGACTCTGCTGGCCTCTGAAGAGCTCGAGACACTTGGGCTCCAAGAGCTTGGAGTAGCAGTGGAGGCTGCAGGCGCGGTCTGCCAACGAAGACGCTGACGAGCTTTTGGAAGCTTCCTTGCCTCGTGGTGCTTGCCCCAAGTTCAGGGGCAACCCGTGCGTCCTATTGGGTCCTCCATTGGGTGCTTTCAAGAGTGAATCCTAAGAGTTAATCCAAAGAAACCTCATCATTTTTTCTCAAGAGCAAAAGCAGGGGGTCTCAGCTCATAGGCTTTCGTGGCTCATGCTCCTTGTATCGATTTATCTGTAGTTACTCTCCAGGAAAGACTCGAACTGGGAGCGGTGATTAAAGGAAGTTTAAACCCGAACCAAGCAACGTGAATCAGTGAATCGTTTGGTTGCATTTTCTAGAGAAAACTGGGGTGTTCGGTTCGGCCTTTCTCATTTTGAGACAACCCAGAGTTGAAAAGCAAGCTCTCTCACCTCTCATCGGTATGAAAGGTGGAGAGCGTTTTTGTTGCAGACGAGCATCATTTTCAGTGGTTTTCTGGCAATCGCATGTTACCCCCGCCTTAACAGACAGCCTCTCCTCTCTTGCAGGTATGGACTGGCACTATTGCGAGCTTCGCGACAAGTGGATTCCTTGGAACTCTGAGGTTTATTTGAAGGAGATGGTGCTGCCTTTGGTTCAACGTTTGCAAAACAAAGAAACCATTCTGGTACATTGCAGCGGAGGCAAGGGACGGACTGGCACTCTTGTGGGAGCCTTGCTCATGACTTCTGCCGGTGGCCACCTCTCCTTGCCTGCTGCGATTTCGGCCATGCGAGCAGCTCGACCCGGCATGCTGAAGAATCCCTTGCAGCAGCTCTTCCTTCTGCATTTGCAAAGCTCTTTGGCCACAATGTGATGAAGCAGCTTTCAATGCGATGAAGCAGATTGGATTCACTCGATCTGAGAGCGAACTGTGACTTCCGACCAGCACAATTCCCCGAGAAGCACCAGGAACGCACATGAGGAGAATTTGAAGGCACGACCTGTAGATGGTGCTCCCAGATTTCGTTCGACCGACAGAGCGGTCAAAAGGTCCAGGATGTCCACGAGCTCTTCGTTTGCGCGCGGATTTGCGGATAATGTGTTCATCCTTGTTCAACAAGAAGACTACTGTAATAATATAAAGTGCCCATACTGGTGGATTTTGCTGGCTCATAGTGTAGTTTGGTTTGAAGGGGGGATGATCACCTCCAGCCGTGACCCGTGAATTGTTTGGTCCAAGATAGTTCAGCCTTTCTTTGGATGCTCAGGTCCACAGATTCATCGCATCTCACCACTTCTGCAGGTTTTGATAACTATTTACAGTGTTCGCTACTAGGAACAAGTGCATCGCTACTAGGAGCAAGGGCCTTACTAGTAGTAACAAGAAGCTACTAGACATCACATCTCGGAATTGGACTCTGAGACCTGTCCACGTCGACGTCCGGGCTTGGATGGGCCGGGCTTGGCCGATGGGCTGGGGGGACGATCTCGATCTCGTTGGCTCATTGAGGTCAGACCTACGCCGTAGCCTGCCTCAAAGAAGGTTCTCAGGACTGAGGGGGGGAGTGGTTGGCTGGACAGCTGCGCCACTGGTGGTCCACCTGTCACTGGCTACTGGTGGCAACTACCAATGAAAAAGATACTGTTCAAGGAAGAATGTTTGCACCGTTGTAGGGGAATTCTCAAAGCACGGGATATTCCATAATCTTCCCTCAGTCGGACTGTGCCAAAGCTTGATCGCATGGGAGGAGTTTTGTGCTCTGGACCTCTTCCTGGATACAAAAGATGCCAAGCTAGCGGTGAAGGGAAAGGCTGGGTGCAGAAGTAACAGTGCGACTCGTACTTAAACTTAAGCACTTTTGTCCGAAAACCTTGGGAATGATCCAGTCCTTTGGTCAGCCAGAAGACATCTTAAGTCGACCCATCTTTGGGTCCCTGCAGGCCACGGTCCACCTCACTGGCTACTTTGAAGCCGATGAGCCTGAGGCGATCGGGTACCGGGTGATTCCATTGGTGCGTTGCTATGCTTTGCGGTCTCACCAACATTCCAGTCCTTCCGTGAAGTTTGATGGGCCAAAGCACGTTATTACCACAAGTCCTTCTCCACTGCATGGCCTCCGGCATGCTCTTCGCAAAGATCAGACTCCAAGGCATACTTCTGTGTTCCTGCGTTTGATGATTGCACAGAATTGGAGACCCTGGCAGCCAGAGCCAGCAGGGATCCACCACTCAGTGAACGAAAAATTCCCACGCCGCGCCCACGTGATGACATGGCGCGACGTCAAATCATCGCCATGGCGCCACGGGAAAACACGCGTCGCTCGTTCATAGCGGCCAGCGTGTGTTTCAAAGGGAGGGGGAGAATATGATTCTTTCTAAACGCGTGGAGTACGTTACAACTGACAGAGTGTTTTTCCACAACGAACCTATTCGGATGGGTGAAGACACGGTCAATGCTTGAAGACCAGGATGATGACGCGCTGCCACCACCTCGGGTCTGGGCCTCAGCGTGCGCAAGTGGGCACCATGATATTGTATACAAGTTGAGATATATTATATATATATATATACACAAGGCTGTATCCAAGGTTGTTCTAGAACACAACCTTACAGGATGAACATCGACAGCGAATCTAGGTTGCTCCGACTTCATAGGTCTCCCCAAAATGTCTGTGAGTTCACCTCTTCTCTCACTTTCATCGGGTCTTTTTCCATGCCTCCAAAGGCACCGGAGTCCCTGAGGCGGCCTCGCCCAAAGCGGCCCCAGCGGCAGCGAAGGCCTCGCCGAAGGCCTCGCCCAAGGCGGAGGCGAAGGCCTCGCCCAAGGCGCTGGTCGATCGGCGGTGGCCGGTCGACGTGAACGGAAGCCGAACTCGGAGTGGTGGCCTCTGAAAGGGGATGTTGTTTCAGTTGGATTCAATGAAGGGCCGAGGCGCTCTCAGGTTCTGGAAAGGAAAGGGGATTGGGGGTTAGATGTCCATGGAGGAAGGCTTAGATTTGATAGAGCTGGTTCCGCATCCTTCAAGTCATTTCTGTCGTGAAACATCCCATTTTCACACACATTCGTAACAATCGTACATCCTCAAGTTGATAACATGTTTGATTATGTCAAGCACATTGCAATCTCCCACAACCCTCCGCAGCAGCGCAAGGCCTCCCCTAAACCAGAAGCCAAGCCAAAGCCTTCTGCCGAGGAGTTACAAACGCAGTTTGAATTGAGGCAGATTGAAAGCAACCTTGACAACATGTTGCATCGTGTTCGTAAGATGTGCGCTATTCGAATCAATTACCCAAAGACACTCAAGGACATTCAGAATGTCTTTCAGTGTTTTTGAGTGGCTAGTGGCTGGTCTACGGTTTGCACATCAGTGTCCCTTGGAGTGTCCTGGAGTGTCCTTGAGTGACCGACATGGCCGACATGAGACAACCAAGCTTTTCACAAGCCAAAGGAGATTTTGACCTGCAATTTGAGCAGAGTTTTTTTTTCCCCAAACAGCGAAGCTTTAGGGGTCTTCAGCCATAGTATAGACTCTGGAACAGATCGGAGCAAGCTCAGGAGCAGGTTCCGGAGCACGTTCCGGAACAGGTTCCAGAGCAGGTTCTGAGAGTTCCAGAGCAGGTTCCGGAGCAGGTTCCAGAGGAGGTTCCGCAGCAGGTTATGGAGCAGGTTCTAGAGGAGCTTCTGGAGGAGGTTCTGGAGCAGGTTCCGGACCCGGAGCAGGTTTTGGAGGAGGTTCCGGAACCACTTCCGGAGCAGCCTTGCAGATATATGACGGCGTATAGTGCTCGCAGGTCACGATGCAGGCCTTTTGTAATGTTTGCTGATCAGACTACCGTGCGGCTTTTGCAAACCTGCTATCATGCTATTATCTCTGACACGCTGAGGTTTTGCCACTCCGACAAGCTGACGACATGGTGCCATGTTGGTGTTGTGCGTGTAGAATGCTGTCACACAGACGTGTGTAGACACGTTGTCGCGCATGACTGTCATTGTCACTGCCGGCGTGGTGTTTGTCAGGCTAATGCGACGAGATGCGAAAATGGGATCATGCTTGACAGCAGTAGTGTCACACGCCACTTGTTAAGAAGCTAGCCCAGTTCTGCAAACTTATCAACAGATGCCAAATGCTGCCATTACTAAATCAGCAAATTCATGCTCAGCTGTTTGGGAGTTATCGTGGACTTATCAGTCTATTAGAAATTGCCTTGGCCATGTTTACCGGCAAGAAGCATTTTCCCAAAATGATTTTCATTATTTAAATTTGCAGTGGCCATGCTGACTGGCAAAAATCTCCTGAGCCGACAAAATTTTGTGGACGCTTTCTCACAGGTTTGCGAGACACCAGGCTCCCTTGCCCCCAGCGTGTGTTCTTCTGAAGTTGCAAAGAAATTTGGTCAACGATCCGTACTTCTCAGAACTGTGTCCACTCTAGGCCTGAGACAGGGCGCTAGCCCCCTAAATCCGGCGATGCCGTGCCGTTGTGTATGGCTAGCTTGTTAGCCCAGGTGCGTCCCCTGGCGCTGACCCTGTGCTTTGCAGTGTTTTTTGCTCTTGAGCGACGGAAAGGGGTAAAAAATCGATCAAAAATCATGGATCTGGAAGGAAACACATTTTGAGCCCTTTGGGGACGGCTTTGGGCTGTTTGTTCGGCACGCGCCAACGCGCAAAACCCTGTAAATTATAGTGTTTTTGGAATTTCCGCTTCAATAAGCGATGTGTTAACACTTCGTAAATACCGACGTTTTTGAAGAGCGTGTGTGCAAACACTGTAAACATCGTGCTTTTTAGCAATAAGGTCAAACACACTCACAAATACTGCGTTTTTGAGGACCTGATAGCTGAACACCATCGGTATTTACAGGGTTTGCTGCCGCCCAAGTGCAACAAAATCGTAAATACCGCATTTCTGAGGTTATTTTCTCTGCCCAGAAGAGCGGCCTATTTCCGGTGAATAAGCGCACGCGCGCAGTGTCTGTGTTAAGAATGGCTTGTAGTCTGTGCCAGCTGGTATCGCGGTGTGCGAAGCCTGTCAATACATGGACCAATGCGGATACGCATACAAAAAATCCAGCAGAACTTTCGCACACCATCCCTGCGAAGTCTTTGCGTCGAAAATGTTCGGGCATGCCCTGGATAAGGGCCTGTGGTGGACTCATGTCTAACAGTGTAACACTCTTGCAGTGACAGCTGCTGCTCTTGTTGCTTTTGCTGCTGCTTCTGCTATTGCTGCTGCTCTTGCTCATACTACTGCCCTTCCTGCTGATCTTACGGTCTTACTGTTCTTGCCATTCCTGCTGCCGTTGCTGATGCTATTGCTGCTGCTGCTGCTGCCCTTCTTGTATCAAATCCCTTCTCCTTCTCCAGGCCCCGTCAACTCAATACTCACCTTGTATCCGCCTCTCACACATTGCAACCGCCCCTCACACAAGACCGACAAGACCACGACATATGCTAGCTACCTTCCGTTCACAACCTCCTCTCTCACAGTAAATTTTCTAAGCGGCAGCAGCAGCAACAGCAGCACGCAGCCAGAAGCCAGCAGCAGCAGCAGCAGTCGCCTGGAGTAGTAGTAGGAGCAGGAGCAGGAGCAGGAGCAGCTGCAGCAGGAGGAGGAGGAGGGGGAGGAGGAGGAGGCGGGGGAGTAGTAGTAGTAGTAGTAGTAGTAGTAGTAGTAGTAGTAGTAGTAG